ACTACTACTTGGCACGTATTTGCAAAAAGCTGCTCTTAATTTATATTCAATTATGCATAACTAATGCACACAGCATCTCTGTTATACACTCCAGTAGGTTATCCAATTAGGCAATATTCACGTAGCATTTAACTATACCTTCAAAGTGAATGAAATTCATCTTTCATAAAAACTGAACGGAAGTCATTTGAGCGAGGAACCACTGAGTCATCTAATAAGGTCCAGTTCATGATCACCTTTCTCTGAAATGTCTCTTACCCATCCACTCTTTACTCTCCATCATACATACATTCCCCTTTTATTTTTAAAAGCTATTTTAATTTTATACTTTGATTTAAAATTAACTCACAAAGTATCTGGTTTCTAGAAGACATTTTCATGCATATTTATTTTGGTTGATTCTCCTGGCTCCTTTCCCTGCATACCTCCCTATTTTCCTATTCCCCATTGTACCCTTTTGGCCTCAGGGCCCCTCCCTTCCCCTCTGATGTATTGTTTTCCCCACTCCCTTCCCTTAGAACTTCTCCTCACCCTAGTCCAACCCCCCCCCCATTTCTACTTTCCTGGCCTACTCCTGCCCAGGCAAACCTATTTGCAATTAAAAGCTAGGATGTACATATTTAGGAGAACAAACAGCACTTGTCTCTCTGAGTGTGGGTTACCTTACTTAATAGAATGTTTCCCAGTTCCATCTATTTTCCTGAAATGTTCAGTTTTCTTTTAGGTTGGTTGATTCTTAGACAAAGGAATCTCCCAAATAAATCCATTTTGCACTTACCATTGAATGCTACAATCACGAAAATTTCTCAGGTTAAACTGATAATATTCAAGGGTCCACGGGGCCTTCTTGGAGGAATGCTGAGACTTAGGGAATACACAAAAATGGTTTTTAAAACCCTAAGTACACTTGGCTTTCTTTGACATACCTGGCCATAATTATAGCTGTCTTATTCTTCCTGGCTGTATCTTCTCCCACTTCCTCTTTCTTTCTGCTCCTACTTTACTCACCTAGACTTCACACCTGCTACAGGGATTCTTGGGCCCAATACTACTGACATTTGAGGATAGGTAATACTTTGCTGTAGGAGACTTCCCTGCATTGCATCCATATATATCTAATAACGCCACTGGTTTCTGCTCAATAGATTCCAAGAAATATCTACAGGCAGGTATAAATGCCTTACATGAGGACCAAGAATCTTCCTTACTTAAGAAAAACAGCACTTCTTACAGTGCCATATACACAGGGTACATACACATGCATTCAGGCACTCATATATCGACATGAAAGGAAAACAAATAAACTTCAAAAGTTTCCTTCCTGAGCTCTGCCTTTCCCCTGCGTTAAAGTAAACTAATTCTAACTTGCAAGCTGGTTTCAGTTTACACCACAATAATCTACTCCCTCTTTACTTCATGACTTGTGATTCAAATGGACATTATTTCTTAAAGAGAGAGAGAGAGAGAGAGAGAGAGAGAGAGAGAGAGAGAGAGAGAGAGAGAGAGAGAGAGAGGGAGATTTTTCTAATGACAGATGGCCTCAGGAAACATTGTTTACCAAATAAAGTATAATTTATTTATAAATTCCAGTCTATTTGCCAGTCTGAAGAAGATATGAACCTGCGCACAGTCTATTTGGCAGTTAGAAATTACACCAGATGTCATTAGCGTGAAGGGGCTTTTTGTATTTTGGCATCAGAGATGTGTGTGCTGGAACTTTCAGCAGACTATAAACAGCCAGCACATTCTTGTATGACCCATGCTGCCTTGCTAGGATAAGGCAAGGTGTCATTTCTTAGCCCCCATGCTTTGCTGAGAGTTCACTGCAACGTCAGAAAAGGAAAACATGAAAGCAAGGAAACAGGGAAACATGTGAGTGGTGGGAGATGCCACGTGGCTCAGCAACAGGCCCTCTTGAGCACACGAACATCTTTAAGGGTTTGTTTTGCTTTGTTTGTTTTCCTGACTTAAAAAAAAAGTCAACAAAAATCCCAGCTAGCAATCAGTGGACTGACAAGAATCTGCCAAGTTTTTCTAACTCACTGATGTTTATTCATTCTCCCTCTTGTACATAACAAAGTTCATTGGAGAACATTTAAGACATTTTGCAGTCCTGTTTCCTAACGCTTATTCTCCTACATCACCAACGCCTACTTGAGACAGTCCAGAGATCCTGATGTCATAGTTTCTGGGTTAGGAAACAAAATTTAGTATTAAATATCCCATCGGATGGTTTTGTCATGTAGTACATAAAAAAGAGTTGCACCAATGTCCATGCATTTTATCTGCATTTGGAAAGATGCAGAGGTCAGTACATAGCTCAAGGGCACCTGACACTCTTCCCTGTTCCTTGCTCTCCCAAGCAGTATGTGCTTGGCTGTTAGAGGTAGCCTTCTCCTCACCCAGCACTCTGCTGCTAGGGTCAGTTTCCAAGGCTCTTTGTGACTGATCATCCTCCTCATTTGTGCTCTGCTGTGGCTGGTGAGGACATACAGAATGGCAGTGAGGCCTCTTCAGTATCCCAGCTCACCCCAGATGACCTCCTCCAACCCTGCAGTTGTAAGCACCACTCAATTGCTCAGGACTTCCCCACTTTCTTGATCTCCAAGCTTGGGATTGTGAGTGCACTTCACTATTCACATTTCCAACTTATTATTGCTCACCAAACCTCTTGGATTCTTACAGATTCATCAAGACCAGTGTGGTCGAAAGCAGAAATCTTTATTCAGCATCCTTCTAATGCATTCCTCCCCTGACAACCTCAGTAAAATGTGAAAGTTTATTTCCTGCAGCCTCTTGCCTCCAAATGCTCACCCTTGCTGTTTGGAAGACCCCTCTATGTGCTAGGATGATTGTAGAATATCCTCTCTCGGTGCATGTCTTTCTGTGTGTGTCTTTGTGTCTCATACACACAGATATACACTTACACACACACACACACACACACACACACACACACGGAGAAAATCATGCTGGGTTTCTTTATCACCCAAAAGTTCCTGATTACTCTCTGTTCCTTCATTTCAGCATGATAAGGGAAGGTTGGTGATGCTGTGATACTCATCCTTGATCATCATCCTTGTTAATCTCTATGATCAATGTACAAAAGCTTTTGATGTGACATTTATATCATAGCAATGCTGACAACAAAGTTTGAGTTGAAAGTAACTCATCTAAAAAGTACAAAAATACTCCAGAAAAAAACATTAATATTTTTCCATGTTACTACTGCTTAACAGTAAATGAGACAAATACCCATATTATATTTTACAGTGTTACTTATCTCCTAATCTATGTGGATACAAAATGGCATAAAGAAGTTATGGTTAAAAAAGACCCATGTTAACTACCCTTACATCAAAATGCCAATAGTCTATATGACAGGTTAATATATCACTACACGAGTTCCATAAAACTAGTTAGGGTTAGTGCTTAAAGTATTTTGGCAAAATTATAAAAGTTCAAATTTTCCAAAAGGAAAAAGTACAAGCCTTTGTTAAAAGAATAGATTTGCTTCAGTCTAATTCCTGATACGAACTGTTAACTACCAGCTCCAGTCTATAAAAGCTGATAAATTTTCCTTTAAAATGTTGATATAAAGCCTCCCAGAGTGATTCAGTGGTTCATTATCTCAGTGTCACCTTCAGTGACTTCCCCTTTCAATCATAGCCAGGTGTGACTGAATATTCTGGAATAGTAGAAGACACAGACAAAAATACCAAGGCCATCCCTGTCCTTTTGTGTACAGATAAAAGTGTTTCTTTGAATGAGTGTGTAGAGTAGATCTCAACAGAGAAAGACTGTTATTCAGGCCACAGTGTTCAAGGCCTTCTTTAAACATATAGCTGTTATTGTTTTTATAAATAGATTGGTGTACTAGGATTTTTTGAGTACATAAAAATAGACACTTAAACCCGAGCAAGCTAAATGAGGGCTTGCACAGCCATAGCCCTACATGACAATGGTGAGCAAAGGCCTGTGTGCACATGGCAGTCCCATAGATTATATTTCCTGGGGGCACTGATGCCATACTATCTTAGTTTGTGTAAGTACACACTTGGTAGCCACACAAGTAAACACATTTCTCATGGGGTGTCTTCATTGTGTGACCAAGTCAACATTAAAGTTCCCTGTCATACAGAGACATAAAATGATTCACAGAGAATTTACTTGGAGAAGTTTTGGGAAGCTACAACTCTCATACAACCCTCCTAGCATGGGAGAGCCAATAGTTTCTAAGAAAAGAGAGGTAGTCAGAGAGAATTGTAGGGTTACCTTGCAATCTGGGTGAAAACTGTACATTGAATCTATACCATGTCTGAGAAACTGGGTGTATAAAATGATGGGTAAGGAGTTGTGGGCAGCACAAGGTGGCCAGAGAGCAGGGAAGAGACTGCATTTTCAAAGTAGGCTGAGGACAACTAAGGACTCTCATGATAAGGCCAGACAAGAGCCCGAAAAGTGGCCTATCAGATGCATCCAGCAGACAAGCCTGGGGGCAGCCTGTTACATTAGAGAACTTCTGGTCAATGCTGTCTTCTCCTATTGGGGGAGAAGCCACCTGGGACCACCATAGTCTCTAGTCCAGGGGTGAAATTGTTAGAAAAGGGCAAATCCGAAAGATCAGCAGAAAATGGAGCATGAACCATAATTGACTGATATGTAAAACCCACCTTGATCTAGTGTTGTGCTTATGAGACCCAATGTGTACTTTCTCTGCTAAGCTAGCTTGAGTTGAGATTTCTAGTATGCGGAACTAAAAGCACTTCATTATTTAAATTATTTTCCTCAAATTATCTGAGAGACTGTCAATGGTCTAGATTTGTACTAGACTACAACAATACAAAATTAGCAAAACGCAGAATAGAGTAACAACTTCATGGGGCTCTTTAGGGATTAAGTCAATCAGAGGATCATATGTGAACTCAATTGCACATGCAGTGAAAGAGGGAATTGAACTGTTGGAAAAAAAGAAACAAGTAGAAGCAATTATGAGTTACCTGGTAATGAACTCTCTGTGACCCAGAAGAAACTGACTGCAAGTCCTAAAGGAAAAAAAAATGAGGGGAAAAATCCATACCTTACAGTTAACTTGGACACAGTCCCACCAACTGAACTCCCAATTTAATGTCACCATGCTTAACTGAAAGGTTTCTTGACTCATCAGGGTTGGCAAATGAAGTTCATGCCAGAAACAATAACAGCATACTAACTTGGACTAAGAGAAAATGAGTCATTTTTGTCTTACAACCTAGGGAGTTCATAGATTAGTGATGGCCATCTGATGATTTTATTATAATAAATGGGAATCTGATTTCATTTGTATCTAAACTCTATGGCTTAAGGAAAAATCTTCTTGGGCAACCTCACATGCCTAGAATGCATCTTGTACTAAATGTACATTACCACATACTTGCAAGATGCCTGGCAAACAGGAGTTTCCATAAACCTCAGTCAAGAAAAAGTAACCACTCCATGTGGTCATGGAGTGCAAGCTGATGGGCATGATAGGAAATGGGCTTTTGCTAGCAGATTATGAAGCCAGACTTGCCTTTATAAAGTCTGCTAAATAAGTTGTCACTACTATCACAAGCCTCAGGCTTCCTTGCTAACAAGGATGCTAATGTTGTGTACAGATGTCAGCAGCCCAGGGGACCTCTGTCCTCATACCTGCTTCCCAAAGGGCTTCTCGTCCAGCTCTGCATCCAAGTCACCTTTGAAATTTCTCTTTACTTACCAGTTTTCTTTTTTTCTCCTAAATCTATTTTTGTTGAATATGTGTGTGATAAGCATGCCAATGCTTGGTTAAGTTGATTTTCACCCAACTAGTCATGCATTTTGCCACTGTGAAGTAATATTGTCACTTAAGTGTTAATTTTTTTTAAATAAAAGGATGAAGCATCAGCTGTGAGTCACTTCTTAAAAAGATTTTATTTGTGGGGGGTGGCGAGCCAGTGCACTCGTAGAAACTAGAGAGGATATCAGATCTCTTGAATCTGAAGGCGTAGGTGGTTGGAAGAGGTACAGCAGGGATGCTGGGATCTGAACATAGTCCTCTGGAAGAGCAGCAAAGGCTCTTAACTACTGAGCCAGCTCCCCAGTTTATAAATCCTCCCTGCTGCATTTTTTAAAACTAAGGTTTAATGTATAACATTGCACAGTAAAATGTAGTATTATTTTGAAAACCAAGATACTATAGGTTCTTTACATTTAGATTAGGACCCAAATTGCATGCTAAATGCTCACAGATGTCTTGTTCCTTAAGTAGTTACCCACACTAAAAATAGCTAAACAAAGCCACAACTATAAAATTTATTGGCTTTCTCATTCACACTGGTATTTAGATTTTGGCATTTGTCCCTAAATATCTTTTGGTTCACAATTATACCTATACCCTTAAGAATTATAAGGATGAAATTAATTTTTAGAACCACCAGAATATGCTTCCTACACAAATTCATTTCTAGTGAAATATAATACTCAAAAATAAATGGCCACAAGTTAACAGCTTTGTTTGTAATTCATTTATGCTCATTTGGTCATTATGTGTTGAATGGAAGAGAGTTATTACTCCAGGAGAACCCTTTCAAATCACCTATTGGTTTTAAAACACAAATATTTCAATCAGCACCATTTGAGAAAAGATACTCTAATGGGAATGGAAGCTGTTCATCTGGAAATGACAAAGGAGAGAGTAGAGAGAGATATTTATGCTGCCACCACTCCTGGGATGGATATAGTTACCCACCCCCACCTACCATACACATATACACACAATTTTGTCATAACAATGGAATTGTAATGATGAGTTTGGGTCTCTTGACTTCGCTGGCTCCTGAGAAGGTCATACATGAAATTGCTTCCTTCCTATTCCTCAGTGGCAAGCCCAGATTAAGGGGAAATTTACAGGTCAACAAATTATCCATTTGGTTCTGATATATTTCCACAAATAAGAAGTTTCTCATTCCTATGGAAGAAGTTTCATCTTAAAAAACAAAATCTAGCTGTCTCTGAGAGAAGTCTGTTCTGGACACAGAACATCAAATAGCCTCAAATCTCTAGGTTCTCTCATTATTTATTAGCTCTTTGGAAATTCTCAATAGCTAAAAATATACAGCTATGTAGCCTGGCAAGAAGGCAGAATTTCCAAGCTACAGTATAGCCATGGAATACACCAGGGCATCAGCAGCTGTAGGGCCTCTCTCCCAGCAACCAGTAGAGGGGACCAATAGTAGAGTTGAGAGGGTGTGTGTTTAAAGAACAAGGCTACAATGCATTTCCCCATCTCACGCATACTTTTAGAAATACATACACACATATGCATATATGTACATAGTTGATAATTTCTTATTTAAGGAAAAACCTAAAGAGACTAAATAATAAGATAATCAACTCACCTCCTGCAGGCGGTCTATGTACATACGGCAGGTCTCCAAATCACAGTCTCCACGAACAACTAGAATACCCAGTGGGATGGCTGAGGGAGGAGGGAAAAAGAAAATCTAAAATAACATATCTTGTCTTTAGACTGACTTAAATGTGTTTCTCCTGGGTACAAAGGAATCTTACAGGCGTTATGGGAATCTGGACGCAACCATGAGCAGAAGTAAGTCTGCTTGGTGGCCATAGGGAGCTCTTCTTCCCAGCTGGTACCATATATTTACCTTGTTTGACTCACTTAATCCCCGCCACCTGACTTTTATCTCCTTGGTCCTGATATGAAATGTAATATCTAATATTACAATAGCAATGAGATGGCGGAATAGGGCAGCTGCTCACTGCCAGCTGATAACGAATGCCTGCATTTGCAGAGAATAGCGTGAAGGCATAGCCCGAGGAAGTAATTAATCATTCAGGATTCTGGACACTCAACCCTTTCCCCTCCTGAACACACTAGCCTGGTCTTTTGACACACTTGCAATAGCTTGCTCCTTTTGAAAACTGAAGCTATGCTCTGCTGGATGGGTACCAACAGAATTAATTACCTAAAATTGAAGGAGGAGGAAGGGGAGGAGGAAACAAGCCTGGGGACATAGAAAGAAAGGATTCCTGAAGATAATTAGTTATAAACCAAAGTCATTATAATTAGTTATAAACCAAAGTGATTCAGCATTAAGTGTGGTAACATCGAGGCCTTGAGTAATGTTAAGGAGAAGTCTAATTGTCCACTGACTTAGCTCTCCATTTAGGTAACAAAAATGTCACACTGGTTTTAGTGGGCAGACCCTTCTACTTCAAATAAAAGCATTGAATTTTCTGAAATATTGAAAAATATTCCTCTTTCCCCAAACAAAAAAAGTTCACATTTCTTATTTTAAAGTATAGTTACAATATTAGATCTATGATTTAACACAAAAAATGTCAAATCCATCAGCAAGAAAGTAGCAATCAGCTATATGACTGTGGTGCTAATGCTTTTCAAGTCTTTAATAGATTAAATTTAGTTCTAAAACTTCACTATCAACAAATGAAATTACAAAGCTGGGGCTATAAAAAATTAAAAACAAGAAAAATATGCATTAAATATATAAAAATATCTTGAGTAACTCTCAATGCAGTAAAGGAATAATAAATAAGTAAATAGTAAGTGTGACATAATTTATACTAAGGGTGTTCTCTGAAGCATGTGTAGCCTCTTTGATCTTTTATCTGAAAAAGCAGAGATGGTCCCAAGAAGTTCCCAAGAAGAAGAAACAGCCCCTTCATGAAAATTAATCCCTGGGTTGATGTCCAGCAGGGAGCACAGATCAGTACCACTTCTTTCTTGCAGGGTCCTCAAGCACCAACCTTTGGAGCAGCTATCACCTTGCTTGACTACGGAAGCCTGTGGGTGAGTCTGAATCCTCTCCCATCAAGAATAAAGCCTTTATATCTTTACTCTCCCTGCATGGTAAAGAAATGGGAAGTACTCAAACAGTGTGAGTAAAAGGGAAGTTGATGAGTTAGCCCTCGTTCACATGTGAAAGGGAAGAGTGTGCCTTTACACCACACATCGTTTTTATGGGCCAGACAAAAGTAGAAGCAGGGAAATAAAGAACCCATACGGGTCCCAACTCACTTTTGGTTATTCTTCAAGAAGCTGAGTGAGTCGAGATGCCGCTGCATGCCATATGTTTGGAAGAATAACCTTGGATGACTATAGCTTCCTTCTTTTTGACAATAAAGTGAAGCATTAAGAAGTTTTAGAGTAGCACCCAGGCGTTGTGGAAAGGAACAGAAAGAAAGTGAGATAAGAGGAGTAGGTGCCTCTTTAAGGCACTCACTATGTGAATCCTCCAGGCATAGTGTGCTGTAACACCAGCACAACACAGGCTGAGTCACAAATTACAGCCCCCAGTGAGTTCCAGTGAGAGCCACAGAGTGAGACAAAAGAAGGAAATTGCCCTCAACTATAACATCAGATAATTCCAACCGTGGTAACCCTCAGAGCCAAGAGTTAAATAATGCTTTAACAGTTGAAGAATGGCAAGGAAAGCTAAAATTTTGGCCTAGGTATAGAAGTAAGTCAAAAATTGTAGAAACTGAATATAGCTGTATTTCAGGTAGTTTGCATGGAAATCTTGCTAATATGCAAAATACTTCCTCTTAGTTTCAACTGTGGAGAGGTAAAATTCAATCTATACTTGTCTATTTTCTTAAATTTGGAGATAAATTTCATAGAAATTAAAAATAATCCTTCTAATACCTCTGACCGTCAATAATTAATACCTGGAGTTACTCTTGTCTGAATACAGACTAACCAATGTACCCTAACTACAGGTAGTTACATGATGAATGTTCATGGTAAAGAATCGACCAGCAACAGCTGGAAAAGCTGTTTTTCAAAGATGTGTAAGTCATTTCCACTACATGCAATAACTGACGGCTTCTGCCTACTATTGAAATAGGTGACTAAAAATAACTATATATCACTAAATAATACTTAGCTAATGCAAAAAGGAAAGATAACCTCTCTCTCCACTTTACTGCATGGTTGCAGTCAGCAATCACATGCACTCTTAGAAGGGAGCAATGTGCCCATGGCCCCTACTCCCCACCCAGCACTGTTTTGGACTTGAGAACTGCTTAGCTTAGCTCTTCGTTCTTGCAATATTACTCGGTGCCTATCAGTCTAAACTTGAAAACTATCATGTTTAGAAAAGGTATTTGCAGAATTTTATGAAGATGAAATTCCACACCATATTTAAAATTGAATCATTAAACCATCAATGTTGGTTCTCCTTCACTACCTTTTGGGCGTCTTCCATTAGAAAATGGTATCATTATATTACAAGGATCAGCTAGTGTTAGAAGTTCCATGATTATATCCTTGTTTAGCTAAAAGTCATTTCCACTCCTTTTGCAAATGGGGAAAAATGTACTACAAAAATGTCACAGTCACCTTGATTAGGGACTTAAGAGATAAAAAGAAACAAGAAACTTGTGGGAAATTAACACCTTCCTTTTGAATTATTGATAACCAGCTGCCAAACTTCATGCCAACATTTCCTTCTCTTTATTTAAGAATAGCAAAAAGAATGTTTCCAGCCCGGGCTTTAGTGTCCCTGCAGCTGATTTGATTCTTTTTCTGATCATCTTGGAGACTCCATCTTCAATAAGTACCAGAAAATACTAATTCCATATAATAGGATAAATACTGGTTGGAACCCACAGTTTCTAACTAAAGAAATAAAAGCTTCATTCTTGAATTAAAATGACAGATTTAGCACACTTACTTCTCTTTCATCAAAAATGTTACCGAGCTGTAGTAAAAATTTATTTTTTAACATTAAAAAGGATGCAGTATTATCAAGGAGAACAGAGAAACAAGAAGTGGGCCAAAGATTAGTGACCAAGCCAGGGTCCATCAGAGCCTACCCCTAAAGGTGTACAATAGATACAAAACACTGGAAATACACCAGGATGTAATTACGCGGTATATCTGGCATCACCACTCGCAGAAGACAGAACACACCTGGAAGTAAGCTTAGACAGGAATTCTAGATGCTGACAATCAGGAATTGAAGATTTCCCATAACTGGCCAGATCTAATCCAATCAACCATGATTTTTAGATTCTAAATAAAGTGTCGATAAGTTACTGCAACTTAGTTATTGGAAATTTTCCTGATGAAAGATTTTTTCTTTTTGTATATTTTCATATATTTAACTGTATCCTCTGAGTTTAATTCTTATTTCCAGCTTGTTATTTTTATCTTTCATTAGATAATTTATCATCTAAATTAAATATCCTAATAAATTTTTGGAAAATATCAAAGAGAACTAAAAGCACAGTAAAAACAGACTAAGAACTTCAATTTTTGATGGAAGCCATATCAGAGAGGTAAACAGTACATACAAACAACAAAACTTCTACTGCCTTCCAGGCATTTGAATTTTTTCATACTTGCCTTTGGCTTTATCTGAAGCTATTTGAAATTAAAGAAACACATGGGAATGCTTTGGGCCTCCAAATTTCAGCAGATTATAAAAAAAGATTCCCTCTGTATCAGGAGATCCTAAAGGGTTACATCAGAATGAAATCTCAGTGTGAACATCAACAAATCTAAAACTCTCTCAACACCAAGAATTTAGAATTCTCTCTGAAAAGAGAGAAGAGGGGAGAGGGAGGGAGAGTAAGGAAGGAGAGAGGAGGGAAGGGGAAGAGAAAGGAAGGGAAGGGAAGGGAGGGAAGGGAGGGGAGGGAATAGAATGGAAGGGGAGGAGATAGGAAAGGAGAGGAGAGGAAGGGAGGGAGAAAAAAGAAAAGGGAGGATCCTCCATGGGCTTTCTCTAAGTACCACCAAGAATGTGAGAAACTAAGGGGAACAGGACCACTGAAGTGGGAGTGCTTCCTGTTAGGTCACTAGATCCCTCTTACCCCCTCATGCTAGGCATAGTTACTATCTAGAAAATGAGGAATAATTGGCAATTTGCAGAGTACAGTGACTTGGAACTTCATTCCCTCATGGGGGCTTGCCAAAATCTAGCATCAAGTAATCTACAGTCTTGGCACGAGGAAAGACTCCTTTGAAATCTGACGAACCCAAGGAGTAATGAGTTAACATGGTGGCAGGCCCACCCCCACCACTGGTTAAGGTCCAAGGCAAGAAAGTTACACTTGAATTTCATGTACCTCCACAGGCATAGTTTTAACACAAAGCTCCAAAATTGTGAGAGTAGGATACACTTTCCTACTTTTCTTTTTTTCCCTACTTTAAATAGACCTTTGCTGGTACCCGAAGGAGGTATCAGAATCAAAATTCTTGTAATCTCTGGAGTACTGGGGAAAAGCACAGTGCTTGTGACCCCTTCTCTTTCCATCACATGCTCCAAGAACACTAAGACCCTGAATGTGTGGACAGACCAGAACACACCTCAACATTCTCCAAAGCCCATGCAAACAGTTCCCTGTACCAGGGCTTGGCTGCATTCATACTATGTACTGTCCCTTTGAGACCTGTAAACATCCAAAGAACAGGCTTAGGGCTACCCACAT